TGTAGCTACCCCATTACCCCCTTAAGAGGGTGGGCACCCCCAACCCCCGCCCCCCCCCCCGAGCGGCTGTTGGGTGGGGGAATGGGGGGTGTTGAGGTCCACTCATCTTAAAGTGGCCAAGTTTGGACAACACTGTCTTTGGACATTGAGCTTCTGCAGTCTATCAAGCCCTCTCACAGGACCTTCTCTTTTACCATACTAAGGATGCTTCATCTGTTTGCTACATCATCACAGACCTTGATCCTGGGACAGTTGATACTGAACAAACACATTGCTTGACCATGTGCATGTTTATTGGGCAATGCATCATTCTTAAATAAGAACTATGAATAGATGTGCACATAGTAGCAGTTTAGGAAGGAAAGTATATGAAAGTTATGCTCTACCCTTAATTGAAATTGGACTGTAACCTGGAGAAGCAAACATTGGTTTGTTATACTGTAAGATTTCTTATTTTGCTTTCACAGGAGAATTTTGGATTGACCCTAATCAGGGCTGTGTGGAAGATGCGATCAAAGTATTCTGCAATATGGAAACAGGAGAAACATGTATAGCTGCAAAACCAGCTATTATTCCACGTAAAGTGTGGTGGACAAGTAAGTCGTCTGATCTAAAACCAGTATGGTATGGACTTGATATGAACAGAGGTTCACAGGTAACTAATATGTATTTTTATATTTTATTAATAATTTTATATGTCGCTTCATGCATTTTTTTGAGCCAATAATTACTTTGAGATAGATGCTAGCAGGTTCCCTAAATTATATGTTCTGCCTATGCCACAACAAATTCAGTTTTGGTGGGTATCACATTTCAGTTGAAAAGATATTCTATGATGGATGTTTCATTCATACATACATACATGCATACATACATATAAGACAACATATGAACTAACACAAACTAATATAGAATAAAGAAAATAAAGAAAAAAAGAAGGAAGAAAAGAACAAAGATAAATGTGTAGAAAGAAAAGGTAAAAAGAAATAGAAGCCTCCAATTTCCTTTGCAGCAAATACAAGTAAATTACCAAGTTATCACTTATTCTATGTTTACAAAAAAGCTCAGATTTTTCTGTTATCCAATTTTTTTTCTAATCATCATCAAAACCACAAGTGCATTTTCTTCTGTTTCATGCAAAAAGTCTGTAAGAGGTTTCCAGTCAGCCAGAAATGTAGATACTGTTTTTTCTTTAATGAAGGAAGTCAATTCAGCCATCTCTGCTAATTCCACCATCTTCAACCATTCATCCATTGTGGGTAGCGTCGAACTTTCCACTTTTGAGCGTATAATAATCTTGCTGCAGTTGTCATATATAAAAACAAAGTTTCATGGCTTTTTTCTAGCTGTCTGTCCATTAATTCCAAAATAAAAGCCTCCGGTTTGAATTGTACATTAATCTTTAAAACCTTCTGAATTAGTGTATTTATTTGTGTCCAAAATTTTGTGGCTTTTTTAACGGTCCACCAAACATGATAAAATGTCCCTTCATGTCGTTCGCATTTCCAGCAAAGATTTGAAGTACCTTTATGCATTCTAGACAATTTCTCTGGTGGCAAATATCAATGTTATATCATTTTATAAAAATTCTCTTTAAAGCTGGAACATAATGTAAATTTCAGTCCTTTCAACCACATATTTTCCCTTTGGTCCATTTGTATATTATAACCAAAATGTTTAGCCCATTTTATCATACATTCTTTCACTTCTTCTTCTGTCTCAAATTTCAACAAAAGTTTATACATTTCAGCGATAATATGTTCATTTGTATATCATTCTATTTCAAACTCAGTCTTGCATTGTTCAAAACCATAACATCTTTTATCTACTTTAAACCTTTCTGATAACTATACAGTACATAAGAAAAACCATTGACAAGTATATCCTTCTGTTATCAAATCTTCCCTTGATTTTATTTTACATTCCCCTTGAGAAAATTTTAGTACATCACAATAAGTTAACCATTTGTGTTTACTTACCATTTCTCATCTATAAAAAGCTTCTTGTGCTGAAAGCCACAAAGATGTTTTTGGGCAAAACCTAGGTTTATATTTATTCCATACTCTAAGAATAGCCCACATGACATGATGATTCTTGAAATCTATATTCCCCTTCACTTTGTCATACCATAGAAATCCATGCCACCCAAATCTCAGATCATGTTCTTCTAGCTCTGATGGCATTCTATTTCTCAGCAACACCCACTCTTTCATCTACCCCTGTATTGAAGGGAGTTAAATATTTCCTTTTAATTAACTTCAGTAATAAAAGAAATATTTGGGATACACACACAAATACACACATTTAAATTACATTTATATATACAAAGTTAAAAGCATCAAAATGCACATTTGAAGGCATAGTAGCTTTAAAATAAAAATTCCCTACTTGCATTTTCCTGACTTTTTCTGCACAAAATCTGTGGCTGTTAGAAGAGGTCTTTCTCACAAGCATAGTGGTCATAAATTGAACCCTGGTAAGAATGAGATTTCTTTTTAATTAAAAAAAAGCACAGTGGAAAAGTATAGAGGGAAGGGGAAATAAAAATAGTAATTAAAAAAAGAATGTTCCTGCTGGACTTCAAACTGGGTGTATTTGCCTGTTAGGCAATTGTTATAGCCACCATGCTAGAGAGAAAAGATTGCTATAACAGAAGCTGCCACAGACTTGATTTAGGAAAAACAGATAAAATGATGTGAAGGGGCATTCCTGCCTCTTTGAAGCATTCAATCAAAATACAGAGGTTGGCTTAGAGCAGTGTTTCTCAACCTTGCTACTTGAAGATGTGTGGACTTCAACTCCCAGAATTCCCCAGCCAGCATGCTGGCTGGGGAAT